AGTTGAAGATATCAACTGGAAATTTGAAACCACATCAGGACTCTAAATATAAAAAGCCACAGAAAAATGCCCTGTAGGGTAGCCGGTGTCTGTAATCTAAGAACTCAGGAGCCTGAGGCAGGAGGATTGTAAGTTCTAGACTATCCTGGGCCACTGAGTGAGACCTGGTCATAAAACAAAACAAAAGAAAACAAAACAGCTATACATAAAGACCCATCCCTTCAGTCCTGTACAGGATAGTGAGCAGCTAACCAATCACATGGATTGAAATGCCTGTCACAGTTAAGTAAAACCAACCATTTCAAGTCTTATCTAAGCTTACATTTAAAAAATAAGTTTTATTTACTTTTTTATGTGCATTGGTGTTTTGCCTGCACATACGTGGATGTTAGATCCCCTGGAACTGGAGTTACAAAGAGTTGTGAGTTGGGTGCTGGGGATTGACCTTGGGTTCTCTGGAAGAGCAATCAGTGCTCTGAACTACTGAGCCATCTCTCCAGCCCCTAGGTTAACATCCTCAAGGAGTGGACAGTAGTCGCTGAGCACTTGCTGTGTGCTTGGTGTTACTTTAGGCAGCATGGAGGTGCAAGTGCTTATTCCATGGATGTAATGCATAGGTAACGTTCTCACTGAAGGTAATTAACATTTTTCTATCAGAAATCCTTTGATTCCTTTACTCTTTTAGGTTGTAATTTTACTTGAGATGAAAATGAAAAATATTTTAACAAGATGAACAGATAGGAACTTAGTTCCAGGGCCGAGATTGTCATCTGTCACCTACTTTAGTCGGAAATCGTCAGCAGCCAGTCTGGCGTTATCAATTTGTAGGATTATATTAGCATTGGCAGCCGTGGAAGAGACGATCTAGAGGAAGTTAAAAGGGAGTTAACAGAAACAATCTTGCTTTTGTTATTTATTACTTAAAAAATAATTAAGCCTTTGCATCAATTTTTAAACATATGCTATTATCAGAAAGTTTAAATTTTTTTTTAAAGTAGCAATGCTTTAAATTCGTTCTCAGATAATTGCATTATTTTTAGAATATAATAATTTATTAGCTATAAATGCATCTCAAAATAGACAGCGGGATTACCGTTTTAGCTACCTTGAAAGTACCAATTTTGAGCAATGGGAAGAATTATTTATTAAAATTAAATGCAAATTAAAGAACAGCCACAAAGCATTTCTCTTTGTGGTTTTACATACTTTTGCCGGGAGTTATTATGTTTGAAATACTCGGCTAGTCTCAAGTTTGCGACTTTACCTTGCTTTTTAGGTCCTCAATGGTTAGATGATACTTGCTGTAGTCACGGTCAAGTCCACGGCAAGATCCCGGTCCATATTTCTCATGCCAAGTCTTGATCTTTCTCTCTAGCTCAGTGTTGGCTTCCTCCAGAGCTTTCACGTTGTCCAGGTAAGAGGCCAAGCGGTTGTTAAGATTCTGCATGGTGACTTTCTCGTTTCCGGAGAGGAGACCCCCTTCACTTCCAGTGAAACAAACACCAGTGACATTTCCCAGGACACTGGTGGCATGGCTCCCACCAGGAGCACTGCCCAGTGTCCCTCCCAAGGCCCAAGAAAATCCACTACCAGCAACTGAACCACCAGCCGCACTGCTCCCGGCAAAGCCCGCGCCTCCGCTGGGCGGCCTGAGGGATCCCGACTGTATGCCAACGTGCCTGGATCCGCCAGAAAACCGGAGAGACATGCTGTCGAGGCAAACGTTCCACTGGTCTGTGGGCAGCTGTAATTTCAAAGGCGTACAGAACGTCACCTGCTTGTGGGTTCTTTGAGCTTTTATACACGGTTGTGGGGGCTGTCTTGAGTTGAGTGGTGTCTGCTGAGAGAGAAATGGCATCATTTAGATTAGCATGAAATGATGCATAATTGGGCGATTTAAAAAATAATTAATGCCTAGCACCCCCCTCATCGCTTCAGGATATTTGTTATCGTACATAAAGTAGGGTTTAGTTCTATATTAAGTTCATTATTTTGACTTTTAATTTTGAATGAGTAATCCTTTTCTTTCATCTAGAGACCCTGTGAACACACCGTCATTATCTGGTACAGGGGCTAATCCAGTGTCCAAGGCTAAGGGAGACAGAGACAAGCTCTGTCTGCCTGGCTTACTATGCAGGTGGATGAAGGACTATTAGCTACGGGAACATACACTTTATCCCATGAGAACAAAACCCATGTCATTTAAATAAATATATCCTTGGTAATTTCTCCTTCTTTCTGTAGCTGTAACACGTATGTATTGTGTTGGCCAGTGGCACAGTCTGAGGCTGCCATGTCTAGTGCGCTATGGAAGACTGGAGCTCAATGAATGTAGACATGAAAAGACATCGTTAGAGTCTTTAGGGAACTGTTAGTTCCAGGTGGGACTGGATCCTGTTTAGCTCTGTGTGCTAGACCAAGGAGTTTGGAATGGCTCTTATGTAAAAAGCAGAGGGAAATGAATATCAAGTTGATTCTGAGAGTAAGGGAAGTGGTCTACCCTCGGGGGGGAGCCCTCTACTTGATGATCCGATACCAAGTGGTGAACCCTGAAATGATGTACGTGCAAGTCACACTGAACAGACGCGACAGGTTGGGTTTTATACGTGTGTGCATATGTATATATAGCAACAACAGTTAAAGAAGGGGAGGCCAGGAACTTAATAGGGAGTAGGAGTGAGGGGTGGGGGTAGGGGTGTGGGAGGAGGTGGAGGAAAGAATAGAATGGAGGGAAATGATGTAGTTATATCTTAATAAAAATGTAGAAAAAAATCAAGCTGAAATGAGTTGGTAAGGCAAACTACAGAAGTAGAAGACCGACTGGACCAGGTGGGAAAGACGAAGATGGTAACATATAGAAGATGGGGGAAGCGGAGGGGAAGTGGTTATTGATTAATATTTGAGAGTAAAGGAAGATTTTTTTGGACAGGAACTTGCTATTGACCAGGCCTGGAATTTGCTATGTAGCTCAGGCTGGCAAAATACTGCAATAGCAAGTACACAGTGGCTGGGGCTGGGGCTGGCCCTCATAACTGATTTCAGATGCTGGGAATTCATAATGTTGACTGGGATGGGTTTAAGGTGGGAACGCTAAGCTTAATTTCGGACCAACTGAGTTTGAGAGGTTGCTGGGGCTAGCCCAGATAAAGATGGCTGCTGATAGGGGAAATCGACGTTTGGAGTAAGCTCACTGCTCTGGGCAAATGCCTGGCCAGCAAGACATAGAGGGGTCAGCACGCAGAACTGAAGACATGGTTCTCATTTCCTTTGGTACTCGGTTATGTGTTTGGAAGTAATACAGTGCTGGAGTAGAGAGATTGATGTAGGTTTGGGGGACCTGAAGGGAAGACCAGAAGGAAAGACTGCCAAAGAAATGCCTGGTGCTCTAGAGAAAATGACCAGGGTGACTGACTACATAAATACATAGAAGGAAGGATCGAGATCAGAGACACAGATAAGCTGATGAAAGAGTTTGAGTCATTGGATGTCTTTATGTCACAGAGGAGGCGAGAGTGACCACGGCTTGGGTAAAGTTGAGGGGAGGTTGGTTCAATATTAATAGACTTCTGTTGCTTTAACAAGACACTCGAAGCTGACTATTTTATAAAGAAAAGAGATCTATCTGACTGACAGTTTTGGAAGTTGAGAGTCCAAGATTCGGGTAGCACCATCTTTTCAGCTTCTGGTGAGGGTCCCTTTGTTTACATCACAGTGTGGTAGAGAAACAGGAAGAGAAAAGCTTCTGGAGAAGCAAGTATTTGGGGATGGCCCTGCCATCTTCCATAAAAGAATTTTAGCACAACACAAAACAAAACCCTACAACAAACAAGGTTGAAGATGAGGATTCACACTGGGAACTGTCTTCTGACCTCTACACGGAGGACATAACATAACACAGACACAGAAAAACACACACACACACACGTAACATACATACACACACAACATACATATACACACACACGTAACATACATACACACACATAACATACATACACACACATGCACACACACACACACACGTAACATACATGTACACATACAAATAAATTGAAAGAGAATTAAGTGTCCCAAAGCTGAGCGCAGCACTGGGGATGGAGGGAAGACAGCTTTGTTTGTATTATCTGTCTTGGAGTCGGTAGACAGGTATGTGGAGTGGAGATGGAAGGAAAGAGTCAGGCTGAGCCAGAGGAGGGAGGGAGATGGAAGCTGAAAACTGGCAGGAGAGGGTGCACAGGTAGGGAGAGAGACCAGGACAGGGCTGGAGACTAATGAGAGGCTTCTGACAGATGTCACTGCTAGGACATCTCAGAGGAAAGATACATGGAGCGGTTAATGCTGTAAGACAGATTCTCCATTAAATCTCTCTCCCTCCTTCCCTTCTTCCCTCCTCCCTTCTTCCCTCCCTCCCTTCCTTCCTCCATCCTTTCTTTCTTCCTTCCTTTTATCAGAGAGACTTTAAGAAAAATTTCAAATAAATTATATTGTCAAAATGTAGTTAAAAGTTTCTATTTCATCAGTCTTAACGTAGTACCTAGAAAGTGGAACGATTCAATAAATAGCAGCTGTTCTCATTGATGGTGGAGCTGGGTGTGTGTGTGTGTGTGTGTGTGTGTGTAAGTGAAGAGTGCTTATGTGTGTGTGTGTAAGTACTGGAGAAGTGAAGGGTGGTGCTGGTGCATGTTTGCAACCATGGGTGTGTGTGTGCGTGGGTGTGTGTATGCAAGTGAGGGGTTCTGGGGTATGTGTGTGTGTGTGCATGTGTATATGTGTGCTGGGAAGTGAAGCTGAAAGAGGAGGAACCTTTGCGGGGCAGTGACCCAGAAGAGTGGAGTGAGGATGGTTGAAAGGACAGGAAAAAGGGGGGATAGGGGGGACTTTGGAATGACTGGCTTCAGGTTCAGGCGGGGAAGATGGTATGGACTTGTGGCATTTCCAGGATACTGACTGTCCTGATTGGTGTTGGCAGGACATGAGTTACCACAAGCCTGGCCAGCTGGTGCCGTGGCCAGCATTGCTATGTGTTTAAATGCATGACCTAGGCAAAGCTGCAGGACAATTTTACAGTTCTGAAGAGCCCCGGATACCTCTTTATTCAGTTCCTCATTAGCAGGTTAAACAAATAAGACCCAGACATGCTGAACATTTTATTCAGAATTACCAGGCTCATACTAGGTGTCGACTTGTTTGTTCAAGGTGACTCGAGATTCTCAGACTTTGAGAATCACGTATTCTTTGAGACATTCATAGATGGATGTAATATGTTTCCATCACACCCATGCCCCTTCCCAACTTCTCCCAGACCTACATCCACACATCCCGTTTCCAACTTCAAGTTTTCTATTTTCCTAAATCTGATGTGTCTGAGTTATCAGTGCCCTTATCAGGGATGTGGAGCCATCAGATAGATCTTGGGCAACCTAGAAAGGGGTCACACCCTTGAAGAAAAATGACTCCAGGAGACAATTTTACTTATGAATAATTGCTCAGTGATGCGTGCTGATTTGCATACCTACTTTACATATTGGGCATCCACCGTCTAAGTTGTTTATGCATTGTAAAATCTTTCTTCTGATTGCATTGTTGAAACTGAAACACTAAAGTAGCTCATTAGCATATATTAATAATTTAAAGTATCTGCAGTACTTGATTATTACATAAATGGCTACTACTACTATTGCTAATTATTTCTTATAATAATTATAATTAAGTAACAAGCAGACTAATTTGTTGTATATGCTTCATATGTAAATAAAATATTTCTAAGAGAACACTTTGTGTCAAAATAAGAAAGAAAACAACACCGCATTTTATACAAGTAGATTTCAAGTGTCTCTATCATAAAAAAGATAAGTGATATGTCAGTTTAATTTAGTCATTTCATAAGTATACATATTTTAAGACAATACATTACATGAAATATATATGTGTGAGCATTATTTCCCAATTAATAATACAATGGCACACACACAAATAAAAACTCCTAAGAGGCACATGTTTAAATAAATAAGTTCTCTGACCATCAGTTGGTGGCTAAACTTGCCCCTGCCAGCGATTTCCACCAGGGGGCGGTGCTGGCCTTCAAATGGATGTCGCAGGTTTTGTGATTAGGGCAGAACCTTGGCCCTTAGCTGGAAGTGATTAATGTAAGACAAGACTGCCTTGTATTGATAGTGTGAGTACAGATTCCAAAGGAGCTTCTTGTGCATCATCTCGGATGAATCTCAAGAAAGCTGGAAATAAGGAAAGGAGAGGTTTCCTTTTCTGTAGGCTTTTTTCTTTTTAACTTGATCCAAATTAGTGCCACCTGGTAAAAGGGATCCTTGATTGAGAGAATACCACCATCAGATTAGCCTCTAGGGTGATTGACGTGAGAGAGCCCAGCCCACTTTAGGTGGTTCCACCCCTAAGCAGGGTGGTCCTAGGAGGTATAAGAAATAGTTGAACCCGAGCTTGAGAACAAGCCAGCAAGCAGCAGTTCATGCATGGTCTGGCTGCATTCCTCCGGGTTCCTGCCCTGCTTGAGTTCCCACCTTGCTCCCTTCACTGATGGACTGTGATCAGGAGGTGTAACACGAAGTAAACTCGTTCCTCCCTCAAGTTGCTTTTGGTCACAGTGTTTATATTGCAGTGGACCTGGATTCCCAGCACCCACATAGCAGTTCCAGTGTTTGAGTCGCCCTGTTTTGGCATGAGTGGTGTGCTCAGACACATGGAGGCAAAACACCCATACACATAAAATTAAATAAGTCTTAAAGAGATATTCAATGAACGCTTATGTACCAGGCTCTGTGTTAGCAGCAGGCAACACAGAAAGAAAAACAAATACATTCTCAATTTTTATGGAGTGTGTGTGTGTGTGTGTGTGTATAGAGTTGGCCCTAATAACCATAAAATGGAAATTGTGTTAAAAATTAGGGAAAGAAACATATGTAGCTACTGAAGACGATCTAGTTTAGGCTGGGGTAATCTTTTAAAGAAATAACATTAAGTACATAGAAGAAAGACGAAAAAATATTTTCTAGGCTGGGACATGGGTGGGGCAGTCTTAGAGGGGGAAAGAATATAATTACGAATAAAATGTTTATATTTAACTCTAGGAGCTGTTATTTTATATTAATATAGTAAGTTACCAGAAACTTAATACTTTATAATGAAAGGAATACTTTCAGCTAACAGTTCTAGAGGTTCAAGAACAAAGCAGTGTCCTCAGCTTCTGTAAGAAGCTCATGCTGGGGACGCTGTGGAGGGCGTGCCATGAAAGGGAGGGGCCACATGGTGAAGTAAAAGCCAGAACACAGACAGAGGGGTCAACACCACTCTGACACAACAGCACTTCTGGAGGATTAACCCAGATCTCATGAGAACTCCTTCAGTTCCTTCCAAGGGTGGTGCTCACAATGACATAATCAACACCCAGTAGGAGTCAACTCTTAAAGATCCCTGTAATGAGAATTTTGGTGTCTTTGGAAAAAATCCCAAGTATTATATGTTTTTGTTTTAATGCCAGGTGTGGGATACAGGAATGCTTCGGATTGTCCACAACGGCTGACTATGATTTGCCTCATGCTCTGGTAAGGGCGTGGTTTTGCCAGCTGTGTGTGTGTGTGACATTTGGAATTCTGGGAACTCTTCAGGGGGTATATAAATGTTAGGTCCCTGAGAGGCAGGGTTGCTGTTGGTGGGTTGTTGGTTAGTTGCTGTTGGCTGAGGTTTGTTAAGTAGTCGTGTGCAAAGGAGAAACAACAGCAAGAAGAAATTAGATAGCCTGATGGGGAAGCTGAGACTTGTCCCAAGGACCTCAATGCCTCTAATCATCAGAAAGTAGTCTAACAATAATGTCGTCCCCTTTCCCCTCTATTTCCCCTCGTTTTTCTCTTCTATCTAGTGTTAGGGGGTTGAAAGGGTAAAAGAAGACAGATGAGGAAGGGCGGAAGACAAAGAACCTACAAAGTAGCCAAGAGTTTGGCTACAGGTCCCACTACTTCTGAGCATAGCCATCCTAGTGACCACATTTCTAACACATGAAACTTTAGAGGAACACCTCAAAGCGCAACCAAACCGTAGCATGAAGGAATAGTGGGGTGCCTTCAAGGAACTGGAGGAGATGTGGACCTTTGTGTCAGGTGGCAGCTGATCAAAGGGTGTATTGGGTTAGGGGAGGGACTTTAAATTAGATCTTGAGCATTGAAGGTAACTATTGAGAAATTTAAGCAGTTTTTGTTTTGTTTTGTTTTGTTTTGTTATTGTTCTGGCTGGAGTGTAGGAGACGACTGATGATGGAATAAAAATTAGCAGAGACATCACCAGAAAGCCAGCCATAGTAATCTGGTGATGTTAATGTGACCTGAGTCAGGGCAGAGTCAGATGGCATTGGGATAATTTTGAAGACAGTCTAACCAGCACCTGGCAGTGACTAGCTGAGGAATGGGCAGGAGTGAATGGAAGAGATAGGAACCAAGAATTATTCCTGTAGTAGTAAAAATAAAGGTCCCCCATAGATGTCTACACAGTCAGGAACTGTGACTATATTCCCTTACACAACTCAGTGTACTTTATGGAAATGATTAAGTCAAGGATAAGCATTCATAATTCTGAGGAAGTTTTCTTAGAGCAGTAGCAGTGGAGAGCTTAGGTGTTGCTACATAGCACCATTGCAAACATGTCCCTGGCTGTCCTAGAATTCACAATCTTAATAATTAGCCAGCTTCTGCCATCCTCCAGGATCAATCCAAGGCTCATATTTTCTAGGGACTCTTCCCTGACAGGACATTGATTTGACTACCTTAGTGTCTCGTCCATGATCTTTAGTCCCCAATGGACACATCTGTGCCACGAATGTGGCTGTCTTAATTTTATTTACTTTCAATATCTAGCATGCGTGTGACATACTTTGCACAACTGTGCTTGCTGAATGAATGGATGCATTTTAACCACTGAATTACACCCTTGGGCACTCTACACTCTCCTTTTCTCCTGATAGGTGTTACATCTAGAAGAAATTCAGGACAAATGGCTGAGGTGCTTATATAACCTATCAAAGTGGATGCTCCCAGCATCCCAAGTATATATTACGGAGTCCTGGCTCCTTTCAGCACTGCTCACCTCAGGCCCGTAGCCTAAACCTCTCCAGATCCTGAGCGTCTCATTCCTCGGCTTCTCTCTCGTGTACAACACAGGCAGCCATTTTTGCTATATAGTCTCTAGACCCCTCTATCCATATGCCCCTCTTGGTTCTCCCCCCCCCGAGTCCCACCTCTTGGCCTATTCTCTTCTCTCCCTCTCTTGTTCTTCCCCTCTCTCACCTCTCATGGCCCTGTCTATTTTGCTGGCCATGTTCAGTCTAGACTTTACCAGATGCCACTGGCTGTTCTCTCTCCTGTACCTACAATAAAAACTTTCTCCTCAACCACATCTGGGAGTTGCCGTGGCCTCCCCTTTTGGTCAGCAGGATCCTGGTATTTGTTGTGGATTTTGTAGTTGATACTCAAATGTACAACAAACCCTTGATGTGTATTGTCAGTTTTTGCCATTTCTCAGACAGTCATTTCTGCTGACATTGTCCTCCATCTCCTTCATGCTTGGAGGGCTCTCTCTGTACTACCACTCAGAATGTCTATTATCTCCTTAAAGGAACTGTTCACTTTGCCTCCTACCTTCTCTACCAATGCCAGAAGAACAGGGAGACGTATGGCTCCAGGGCTTTGATTGTTTGGCATTTAGATGGCTTTCCCCCACACTCACATTTAGAAGCATCCTCACTAGTCACAGTCCAGTCCCTCAACTTCTACAGCTGTCTGCCAGGACTGGGGTTGCTATTCCTGGAGGATAAAGGAAGAAGCCCGAAGGCAGAGAGCAAGTGGAACTTCTAGCACATGGAAGGTCCGGGGCATCATGGATACTCTTTACCTTTTTAGCTCGATGAAATAATTTCCAGTTTGTTTACAAAGTATTTAAAATAATCAGATATTAATTGCACAGAAGAGTTGGTCTCATGTGTATTGTTGTACAGGGATAGCAAATACTCTCTCTTTGATTCTTAGTCTCCAGTGTTTCTGGGTTCACCTTGGGAGGTTAGCTTATATGGATATGACTCACTAATTCAGTTGCTCAACCAGGACTTACTGAGCTTTAATAATTCATGTAAAAAAAACCCATGCTAGGGTGGGGTTCACAGCAATAGGTAAGGCAGACCCTGTCATCTCACTCACCAGTATTATAATCTAGTTTAGATTGCACTGGAGTATGATTTAGTATCCCAAAGAAGTCTCAAAGAACATGGATTGACAAGTCTCAACACATATAGATTGAGAAACCTTTTTAAAAAAATAATTTAGTTCTTAATATTAAAAGAGAGCCTGGTTCTCAATGTCTGTGGAGGGGCACTGTCACCTAGGTCACATTCTAAAGTGTGTTACATATTAGGGTAGGGTTTATATCATCCCACTGAAATGGCAAGGGATCAGCCTTGCAGTCAGTGAAAAGCACTAGAGTTCAAATCAAGAAGGATGCTGATGTTGCTTGTCAAAGGACATGGGCAATCCAAAAGCACACTAGGGCTTTCCCTCTTCACTCTACCCCAAGTAGAGTACTAAGTAACGTCAGTTGATGTCTTAGGGTTACTTTTGTTGTAATGTAACACCCTGACAAAGCAACGTGGGAAGGAAAGGGTTTATTTGACTTATGCTTCCTCATCACTGTTAATCACTGAAGGAAAACAGGGCAGGAACTTGGAGGCAGGAGCTGATATAGAGGCCATGAGAGGGCATTGCTTATTGACTCTATCCTTGGTTTGCTCAGCTCACTTTCTTATAGAACCCAGAACCGCAATGGGCTGGGCCCTTCCCCATTAGTCACCAATGAGGAAAATGCCTACAGGCTCGCCTATAGTCTTAGGGAGACATTTTCTCCACTGAGGCTCCCTCCTCCCAGATGACTCTACCTTGTGTCAAGTTGACCCAAAACTAGCTAGCACAGTTGGGGTCTGGTGGAGAGATATAGGTAAGTGTATACTGAAAGAACAAGGTCTTTAGTATTGATTACATATAAGGGTTGGGGGAAGCAAGAGATTTAGAGGTGTCTGTCTGGACCCACTGCTGTCATCTGGCAGACACAAAATAACTTTTTTGTGTGTATAACAATTTTGATGATTTCTGTTGGGCTGGTTGACTTTGGTCAGAGCTCTGTGGGAAGATGTATCATAAGTAGTACTAAAGACTCAAGAAACAATATTATAATTTGAAGAAAACAGTCAGAAAATATGAGACGTAAGAAAGAGAATGTGAAGCTTCCTTTTATATTGGGAATCTTATTTGAGATGATTTCAAAATTTCCAAGATTGAAACGAGTTACAGCCAAAGAATTGGGAGTTCTCTACACATTGTGTATCTTTAGAAAATGTAAGTTTGGGGGAATTATGGACATTTTCACCCAAATTACTCGTACTGGTCCAAGCACACCCACCCAATTAAATAATAATTCTGACAAATTTTGATAGTTTGCATCAGTAAGAAAGTTTATTGAAATTCATTAGTAAATGAGAAATTAATTAGTAAATGAGAAAGTTTTCTTCCTTTTTTTCTCCACAAAAGAACACTTTCTGATAAATGAAAAGAAGAAATACAGAAACCACAAAACACCTTTTAGACCCTTAATTCCAAGGAGTTAACTTATTTCTATAGACCATTAAGACAGAAGTGTTTTCCACACGTCTGTGCAGTGGCCTGTGTGAAGACTCTTCTATGCAGCTTAATAGAAGTGTTTCTTGGTTTCTGATTCAATCATAGACGAAAGGACTCTACCCTCAGGTGTCACCTCCTCAATAATCGTCTTGATCACTCTGGTTTTGTTAGTATCTGTGAATAATAAAAAATAAATTAGGATTTAGGTGAAAAGATTTGTAGAGATTCTAGCTACTAATAACCTATTACAAAAGAAAGATTATTTAACTTTTCCAAGTTCTGAAAAAAAAATCCATGCTGTATATGGCATTTTCAAATACTGATGTCTATAATATTATTAAAAACACAAACGAAAACCTAACTCGAGATTTTCATTGTTTTAAAATCAGCTCTTGCGTTAAAAGAGCAACAAAACCGTCGGAGAAAGTTAAAACTAATTCAGATTACCCAAGCTGTTTTCTGCTGACCTTGGGCCTTTAGACGATTGGTCACCGCCACCGGACCCTCCGGAAGAACTCTTGAAACCTCCACTTCCGCTCTGGCCTCCACTGGAACTTCCGCCGCCGTAGCTGCCACTGCCTCCGTGGCCGCCGCCGGAGCTTCCGCCGCCGTAGCTGCCGCCGCCGCCGCCGGAACTTCCACCGCCGTAGCTTCCGCCACCAGAGCTTCCGCCGCCGTAGCTGCCGCTGCCTCCGTGGCTACCGCCGCCGGAACTTCCGCCACCGTAGCTGCCGCCACCAGAGCTTCCGCCACCGTAGCTACCGCCGTGGCTGCCGCCGCCGCGCCCGCCTCCGGAACTAAACAAAGTGTGAAGGTCAAATGCCGTCACTTCCAATATGGAAGCGCCAGGTTGCGCTCCAGTTCAATCTTGAGAAAGTATAATCCAGTCAAGTTTGTCTATTAGTTTCCATCCATCCGTAACAGATATTTATACACACAGCCCCAATTCCTGAAAACATCACTGCTCCCCTTCCCGCCTCTGGCTTTTCCTTGGGTTTGGGCAAGCTTTGCTATGTGGAATACGGAAGGAAAGCAATTGAGGATATTTGCAGGTTTCCAATATACCTTCCCTCTCCTTCTAGCAGGCTGCGGTAGGTCTGGATCTCGTTCTCCAGTCGGGTCTTAATGTCTAGAAGTTGTTGGTACTCGGCGTTCTGGCACTCGGTCTCAGCCCGAATCTGTTGCAGCTGTTCCTCCAGGGCGGAGATCTGGCTTTGAATCTGGGAGAGCTGCACGCAGTAGCGACCTTCTGTTTCTTGCAAGGAGGCTTCCAGCGATTGTTTCTGAGAAGAAGGTTTTTATTAAGAATAGTGAAACATGGGATTCGGTAAGACCTCATAGAAGGGAAGTAAATAGGATTCTTGCTTAATGGCAACACTGATAAAGTTTGAGCACCACTGCCTCCATTCAAACAGTACCTCCTTCCCCTCCCCCCTCCGCAAAGCTGCAATTTTGATTCTGATTTCTTGTCCCCAAGTCATTCTTAGCATGAAGAATTGCGGGATAAAATAGAAGCCAGTTTATAAGATTTAACGCACCAGGGCTAGCTGGGACTGCAGTTCGATCTCCAGACCCTGAACAGTACGTCTCAATTCAGTGATTTCACTCTTATGGCTGGACATTTGTTCAATGTTGCTGTCAATTTCTGTGGTGAGTTCCTTGCTCTAGAGGATCCAAAAAAAAAAAAAAAAAAAAAAAAAAGGGAAAAGATGAGAACATTTGGGGATACTAAGAAAATCTCCATGGGCTTCTCTGAGAAGCCGAGGGCTTTGCTGAGAAGGGCGATTAGTTTACCTTCTCATTGAACCAGGCTTCTGCGTCCTTGCGATTCTTTTCTGCAAGTTGTTCGTATTGGTTTCTCATGTTGTTCAGCAGCTGAGTCAGGTCAACCCCTGGGGCAGCGTTCATTTCCACATTCACATCACCAGTAGACACATTTTGAAGGTCTCTCATTTCCTGTTTGAGGAACAGTTAGATTGAATTAATGCACCATGACCAAGATGAGCTTTTTTAAAACGGGAGGTGTGTGTGTGGGGGGGAAAGAATGTGATTATGTAATTTTGTGTCACCTCTTCGTGGTTCTTCTTCAGGTAAGCCAGTTCTTCATTTAGGCTCTCTATCTGCATCTCCAGGTCAGTCTTAGCCAGGGTCAGCTCATCCAGCACCCGGCGCAGGCCGTTGGTGTCGGCCTCCACGCTCTGGCGCAGGGCTACCTCATTCTCGTATCTGAAACAAGCAGGATACAAACACTGGATATACAGGAGAATGAAGGTATACCCGGATAAAGACTGCTTACAGTGCAAATACAGATTTGGTTTCATGTCATGGCAACGTTTGTAATACATGAATTCATGTAGGAATATTAATTAATAGTTTGATATGAAGAAAGCTATCACTTTAAAACACATCTTCCCTTAACAATTACCTAAAAGATATGATTACAATTAAAAACAATTTTTAACACCTCAGCACTGTTTCACTCTGGATGAGTTCAGGAGAATGTAAAAGCTGTTGTGGGCATCCAGGGGCATTATTAGAAGCCCCTGCTGTATTTGTACCATATCCATGTAACTTACTTCAGCCTGAAGTCATCAGCTGCCAGTCTGGCATTGTCAATCTGCAGCAGGACATTGGCATTGTCAGTTGTCAGGTTGAGGATCTGAAGGGAGACACAAGTTATTGAAAAGATCAGGTGGGCTTATGGCTTTTTAGGTTAGCATAGGTGAGTTGCATTTTTATGTAGTTCTCTTCCAAACCTCTGGAGGGAGGTTAATTTAAACATAGACTGTCACAGACTTGCCCAGACTTTTTTCCTCTTGGGCTTTCAGTACCTTTATGGCTTTGATTCCTTTCTGAGCACTGGCTGGGATTGTGTCATTCCTCCAGCTCTGACCCTCTCCTTTATAGTGTGTGATTTGTTTGTGTTGCAGCTAACTTTTGAGTGACTCATGTTTGTATTTGCTTCATTTGTTATAAATATTTCTAGGGGTGAATTTATAGATGTAATTAACAGATTCCCTAGAGGCAAAGGGTAGCTCACTTCTATGTTGGAGAGTTGGTGTTATTGCGATGTTAGTGCTGGATATGGCTTGTTTACAATTGTAAGTAAGCCACACACACACACACACACACACGAATATATATGACATATTCATTTAAAGTTATTTTAGCTCCCGCATTTACATGTGGTCTAGCATATTTTAACTGTCAACTCATATATGTTTGTTAAGACCAATAAGGTTCTCAGTAGTCTGTTATCCTGGAAGACAGGCAACACATACTAGATGAAGGTTGACATGGCCATACCTTCATAAATGTCTTTGGTGAGACGTGGTTATACCAGACATGAAAAGTGGGCAGGTGAGACAGTGATCAGCTGCGCTGTGCTTAGCTTAGTTTCATCTGTCTGCATGCCCTGCATAAGGATGATGGGAGCTGGATTGGAAGGGCCTTACCTTCTCTTTAAGATCGTCGATGGTCTTGTAGTATTTGCTGTAGTCCCGGGGCTCCCGCTGGCTTGAGTTACCATGCTTCTCATACCACTCCTTGATTTTACCCTCCAACTCGTAGTTGGACTCTTCCAGAGCCCGGACTTTGTCCATGTAGGAAGCCAGGCGGTCGTTCAGGTTCTGCATGGTCACCTTTTCATTTCCAGAGAGAAGGCCACCACCATCTCCTCCAAATCCACCACCAAAGCCTCCTCCATAGCTACCTCCGCCGAAGCTACCACCACCGAAGCTGCCACCTCCAAAGTTGCCTCCTCCAAAGCTGCCTCCTCCATAGCTGCCTCCTCCAAAGCCTCCCCCAAAGCCGCTTCCTCCATAGCCACCCCCAAAGCTGCCTCCATAGCCTCCATAGCCACCTGATGAGCCCCCAAAGCAACCTCCACCAGAGCTCCCACGGCTAAAAGAGCCACCACTGAACCCCCCTGAGCCAAACCCTCCACCAAGGGAGCTTTTGGAGCTGGAAACTCTGACAGATGATCCACCACCACCTCCTCCTCCTCCACTGCGGCTGGAAGAGTACTGCTTGCTGCTGGAGCTGTATCGAACAGACATGGTGGTGTAGTGTAGCCCAGGGAGTGCCTGCTACCAAGGACAGTGCCGAGCCTTTATATACTGAGAGGGCGTGTCTCACAGGTGCTAGGGTTTGCTTACTTGTATGGTTTTCTTTTTGCCAGCTTAGCATCTTTGGCTTATGATTGCATAAATTATCTTCAGTAATAACCAATACCTTTTCAATGCTTTTGAATTTGCCCTGAGTACAAATGGGAAATTTGCTATGTTGAAACTGAAAATGGGTGGAGATCAGATGAGTACATTTTACCTTTTGAAGACCATTGACTATTAAAAATCAAATTTTTCTAATGTTAATTTAGCTTGTACTTAGTACTTGCTAAGTTCAAAAAGTAAGAGAACTTTGCTTATAAATTATACTTGAAATAAGAATTTTTCAAATTCTTGTTTTAGATAGCTTTGAGAATTGCAGTAAGTAGCAAGTATGCTGGCCTTGTATTGTAATAAGGATCTTGAAGTGAGTAAATAAAAAATAGAACATATTGAACTCTTATTAGTGTTAAGAAGTTGCCACATTTAAAAAGCACAATTTAGGAAATTATGTGTATATATATATATATATATATATATATATATATATACATATGATATATACATTAATATATATGATATATATCACATATACACATATGTTTATATAATCTCATATGTAGAGGGGTTTTTTATTTGTCAAAGGAGAGTATATTCATATTTTTTGCTTAGGGAACTATATATAGAATGACTATGGAATTTTCAAATTCTTGACATAAAATCATGAAGTTATTCTATGTTACTTCATACTTTTAAGTTCATGGTTCAGGTGCATATGAAGACCATGGTGCAGAAATTCTAAACACAAGAAGCAAGAAACTAACCTGAAGTGCTTTAAGCTCTGCCTGGTTTCAAAGGGAGGTTTATTGCACAAAATGTTTTCTTGTAGCAACATAAATCCAGGTTACAGAATGGCACTTGCTTCAGGACTTATAGGCCAGACTTGTACCTCTGTTCCCAAGCTAGATTTTCCTTCTCACTAAACAAGAAAAACATATTTCCCTTGGATATACTGTACTCAGATTTCAGTGGGACAGTATCCAGGGAAGCATTTAATTGGGACGTTACATGACATAAAATTATTTTATAACTACCCATAGGCTATGACATTGTCCTTGTTAAAGTATATTACACTTATATTTACATGTATAGGATTCACACATGTTTTAGAATTATGTAATGCTTTTTGTGATAGGTTGATTTAAAAATCTCTAGAGCAACTCATTGACCTAGGGCTAGCTGTTACTGTCTCAGTTTCGTCAGGAAGGTGAAGCTAAGAAATGGAGTGATTTTTCCTGGTGATAGGCAGCTGAACCAGGGTTGGAAGCGTGCTTGAGTCTTGGATTTGTCTGTTTTCTACTCTTCCACCTTACATACTCCTTCTCTCCTATGGTAGATTTGCTGTTAGAGAAACCAAGGCTCTGAATCTCACCACTTACTTCTCCCCCTGGGAAAAAGCAAAACAGAAAGAACATGGAAATGGAAAAATATTGAAAACACAGGGACTTGGCAGGGTTCTGTTAGTAATTGATTTTTCAAATGAAATCTGTAGCTGCAGATTCCACAGAACAGGAGCTGTAGAAATTGTCTCTGCAGGGAAAGGGGATTTGGCTGAGGACATTGGTGAGGAGCTGCCTGCGAGGCTGCAGGTTACTGCCAACAGACTGCAGCTCCTCCAACTTGTCAGAACCTGCAAGTAGGGCAGCAGCTGAAAGAAAAAAGCCCTGAGCATGAGAATTGATTCTTGTGAAGATAACACGCACGATTAATGGAGACTAACAGGAGGGAAAGAAGACCCGGGCCGGTTCAGAGAGGTGAAGCCTTGCTCTCACAACTTGACGGGAAGAGAAAGCACAGAGCTTCCCATGTTACTGATGACCACCATGCACTTAGGGTTTTGATTTTTCTAGGTTTTCTTTAGTGTTAGCTTTTAATTTTCTGTGCCGGAGAAAGACATAAAAACCTCAGAGTACTTTAAGCTTGGTCTAAAAATAGTAGAAAGTGATATCCACCATTCTACAGAGCAGACCTTTGTCTTTAATTGCACTTACTGGCTGAACTAAGTTTTTGGCATGAGCGGGATTACAGAGGTGCCAGTGAGAACGTCTGATGCTAGCCCTGGCACCGCTCTCGTGTGGTTGTCATAACCCACCTCATAATCCCTCTGCCCTCAGTGTTTGTCCTGTTTCTGCGTAAGTCATGAGACGGTCAGAAGGATGTGGATGACATTCTGCTCCTGTCCTTAAAGATCTCTCCAAGTCATTGCAGTCTGACTGAAGGGAAAAGCTAAGACCTGCCATTTAAGTGGTACATGCATAGTAAAGGAATGTGGGGCTGGGCAGAGCCCACATTTTCCTCCCATGTGTGATCTTCAGATGGCTTACTTTCAGTCTTCCTCAGTTCTCTAAGAATAGATGTTATTTGCCCAATTTTAATAGCTGGAAAACACTAAACCTTAGAAATTTATAGGACGTATCCCTGCGGCACACAGCTGGTTGTGCTAGAGTCTGGTTTTGCTATAGTGATGGAGATGATAGTTTCCATGACATTGAACTGATGCTGATGAGGCCACTGGACTGAATTTCACAGTACAGGTGGAGTTGAGCTGTGAAACATGGGTTGGAATCTTCAGTATGAGCAACAGCAGAGAGAGGACTGTTCTGGGAAGTGAGGACTGAAAAAAACACCCAGCAGGTGGAGACTCGAGGTGGACCAGTTTGGCTGGAACATGTCGCCCATATTCACTAATTTATTCATTTCTTCAACAGGCTTAATTGAACACCTGCAGTATGACCTGGGTTTACTTAGGTGACTAAGGTATAATTCCTGCTCCTCAAGGGATATAGTGTGCCCCTGGAGAGGCAAACAAACATACCCATGGGTCCAGGAGACTGTTAGAACAATCTAGGCTACACTGGAGGGTACAAACAGAGTGCTAAGGGAGTGCAAAACAGGATTCCAGGAGTTGTGTGAGAGACTTGTATATCTGATTGTGACAAGGTATCGATAAGGTCCATGCCTGTTAATTGGGAAAACGTGTAAAAGTCGGTGATCCTAAATCTGCATAATCATCCCACCCCTCCCATTTTCTTCGTGTGTACTGAGGTGAAACCTGCCTGGTAGCCCTGGAGGATGCTGTAGTGATTCTGTGGGTGGCCTGGTAGCCCCGGAGGATGCTGTAGTGATTCTGTGCGTGGGCTCTAGAGTCAGACTCACCATTTACTTTGAAGCTTGGTCCTTGTTTCCTCTCTCTAAAATAGGAATTATAACTTTGCTAACTCTGTGGTGTTATCTTGGGAGACTCATGAGTTAATAAATAGAAAACATAAGCTCAGCAGATGGCAGGCATAGAAGAGCTTGGTGAATGTTTTTGTTATTGTTGCTGATTTCTGTTTCTTACAACCTAACCCACTTTGGACTGCAAAATATGAAAGCACGGGGCACGGGAGACGGCTTTGTTGCTACAGTGCTCATACTGGCCGGGTTCAGCCCCTTAGGGCCCGGGTGAAAAAGCCCAGCATGACGGTCCCTGCCTGGAGTCCCAGTACAAGTGGACAGGAGCAAGAGACCCCTGAGACTGGCGGACTTGTCAGCCCAGGTTATTTGTGAACTTTAGGTGAGCAACCCTGTCTCAAGAATATGGTGGACAGCAAGGAAGGTACCTGACTATGACCTCTGATCTTCACAGGTATGCACATACATACACATGTACACATGAAAACACACACACACACACACACACACACACACACACACACCCGAAAGAATAAGGTTAGAGGGTGAAAAGTAGCAGGGGAGGAGAGCAGGGTGAGGAAGGAGTTTTGAGCCTGACAAACGTGCCATCTGTTTTTCCGTGAATGGTACTTGCTTCCTTTTATTATTTAAAAACTCATCCATTTTCTATTGACCAACAAGTCACTAATTTTAACATATTTTATTGCCAGTACTCTAAACCTGGCTCTCAAATATTTTCCCCAGGATGATTTCACCAGCTTCTGAAGTCTTACTTAATTGATTTTTTTGGCTCCCCGTGTCACTTGAGATCCAGTCTGTTCACCATGGCATGATTAATGCCATGGAAGCAGCGCTGTCATCACCTCTTCAGCATGCTGGAGCTTCTGTGGTGGATTAAGTCTTCTCTACAGCCTGGCTTGCCCCTGTCCAGCCAACCCTATACCCCCTGCGGTGAGGGTGGTGGGGCTGATCAGGAGCTGCATTCTCATAAAGTAAATACATGGCCTTGGGCAAGACACTCAGCTTTTCTGTGTTTCAAGGTTATTATCCTGTGAAATATGGAGGCCAATGCTACTAAATATCAAAATACTATGTAAGCCAATGAAAAATGTTAGCATTTCCTATACTATTACCCAATTACAAGCAGGCCTTTCCTTTTCACTTTCAGGCCAAACATGCTCAGTTCCACTGTGAGGACCTCGCTTGTTGGCCCCAGTCTGAAATGGCTTTCTTCCCTGTTGCTGTCTTGTTCCAATCACCAACCTCAGCTGCAGACTCTGTCTGAGACACCATTTTATTTATGAGTTTTCACTGTTAGGCCATCTTGTGGCTGTCTCTTAGTTCTTGCGTTGCACTGAGGTTTGTGATACAGAGTGTGAGCCTCCTCTTATTGGGCTTTTGACGTCCTCTGTAGAAGAAACAATGCCTTAGATTCTTGGCACACCTCATAGATACTGATTGTTTTTGAGGAGTTTTCAGCGCCTCCCTTCCCCACTTTCTTTTCCTTGCTTTGTTCCCTGGACATTTGTCTGGACATGTTGGCACTCTTGCAAGTTGAAAACAGAAAGACTAGTCAAAAGTTGATTTTTCTTGGAAAAAAATGATGACACTTGTTGATGTTAAAATGTTTTATAAGGATATGACATTCAAGATTCTACATAACATTCCCAGGATAGCTTTGGGTGATGCACATCTGAGGGGTGGACCTTAAGCTGCAT